TAGTGTATCGCGGTTAGTGCATCGTCGAGAGAGCGTGTTGAGCTCCGGGAATGACTGAACCGAAGAGTCGGGAGGTATGCTCGTGTGTCGTCGAGTGCATCGCGAGTTGTAGCGGGGAGAGTCTCAAGAGTACGTGGAGTTCCGAGAACGACCAAGCAGAGTCGGAAGCTGTACTCTGGTGCTTTGCAGGACGCTGTCTCCACCGTTATTGCCTGACAGTGTGAAGGCTGTGTCGCTGATTGTTCCAGCGTGTTTATAGTAGATCTTCGACGACTGTAAAAAGTGTTGTTGGAACTGTCCTGATTAATATTGGCTGAATAAAGTGTGTTTCGATACTTCATCAAGTGTCGTCGTTATTCGCTCAAAATCTACGAAACCCGTACGAAAGTGAAGGAAGAAAATAACGCAACAACTGGTGTCAGAAGAATAAAAAAACGTAACAATATTCAAATGAGGATGGTGAGGAATCATGTTTTAATGTCATCTTAAAGAGTTTCAGCTCGGAAAGTGAAACATCTCTGTGCTCTAAAAATAAAGGTTCGGGCTGGGACATTATTACAATAACCATATCATTTTCTGGCATAAAACCTGGCAATTACAAATAATTCAGAAGGAAGTAGGAAATAACGGTAATGTTCAGAAGGAAATAACGTAGAAACGTTATTTCCTTCTGAACATTTTGATAATTTTTCAGCTCCGTCATATATCTCTTTAAAAATAAAATCGACATTAATTAAGAAGTACTCGATGCTTTCAATTACTTAGACTATGTAATTTAGAGCTTTCTTCAGATCAAGGGTAATTGATTGTAAAAATTCACAAAGCTTTTTAGTTGCAGCCAACAACTTAATTAAACATGGCAGGGATATTAAGAAACCTTATTTTAATAAATGAGGCATGAATTGGTGATGCATGAGCTGACGTGTCTCTGTCTTTCCAAAACGAAATTTCTTCAAGAGCCTGCTATAACGGGAGGAAAAAGCTTCACCAAAACCAATTATAGAATTGTGTCTTCCACCTCATCTTGTCATGCATATTTCAACCAATTTTTGTTTTTTTGCCTTTGGGCAATATTCTTCAATTTCAGATTTTAGACAATGTTGTCGTTTTGGTGTTTGGAAAAAATAATATATAAATTCCTGATACAGTTCCAATACAATTCTGGATCTCATATATTGCATGAATAGGATACTGCTAGATTTAAACTGTGCGAACTCCAGTAGACGTATAAAGCAAGAGGATATTTTCCCTTTAAATGAGCATGTATGCCTTGTAGTTGTTCCCCACTCATAGATCTTAGCTCCATCGTAACCTTGTACCGTCAAAACCGATAAATTTATTCCGAATGATTCCGAAGATTTTAAAATCATTGATGCTAGATTAATTTCAGTACAACTAGTAAATGGAATAAATTGTAGGAATTCCTGTGTTAAATTATCATTAATAAAGCGTAAAGCTTAAAAAATAAATGCTGAATCCCTGCAATATCGGTCGTTCTGTCTGCGATGATGCTGAAACACTCACTTTTGTTTACACGGTTGACAATATCTTTTAATGTAATTTCATTGATTGATGAAATTATTTCGTTTTGTGTTCTCTAACTGATGTAAGTATTTCTTCTAATGTCTTTCAAATGTTTTTCTAGTACATCCTGTCCAGCTTCTACACGAAATTTAACCAGTGCCCGAAAGTTTTCTTCATTTTTATTTGTTTCCTCTGTTAAATTTAAGGGACAATAATCCGAATACCCCCTTAAAGCAATTCCTTGTTTACCGCTAAAAATTACAGTTTTAATAATATAACATAAAATCTGTCGAATTTTAGAAACTTCTTCAGCTTTTTTTTTTGTCTAATATTTTGTCGGTGCTAAGAATAAAATTTTCACTAACTTTTTTCAAATTTGAGTAAATTTCGAGACATTGTTGGTGATATTTTAATAAATCGTAGTTTTTAAAGTACTCTACAGCGTGGTTCCATTTTTTCAAAGGATCTGATACTAATTTTCCAGTTTTCTGATTTTTGTAGGCACCTACGTTTTTCGTCGAAAATAGAACACAATATTTGCAGAAGGTACCATCCAGTTTTTGAGAAAATGACAACATATGCCATTTGGAAAACCACTGCATTTGAAATTTGAAATTTTTTTGATTTTATAAGTGTAATCCGAAAAGTATAATTTTTATCGGGGTGCCATATATTGCTTAAAATACACTGGTTATCATAATTAAGGAAAAATAAAAAAAATCACAATTACCGAAAAAGTTACATGTAGAATTTAATGAAACTTACCCGCAATATACAACACATAGTAAGGTATCAAATAACATAAAACGAAATTACCAGACAAATATGGTAGTATAGAAATTACCACATGTATAAAATGAGCAAATCGAAGGTGTCAGCTTCCTCTAGGAAAAGTACCTTCAATGGAATATGATCGCCTCTAGAAGCAATACAGCACATACAGCGATGTGTGATGCTTTCAATTATGCGGTCTATCAGTTCCATAGGAAGCGAGAGTCATTGCTCTTGTAAAGCAGTTGCAAGCACGACAAGGGTCTGAGGGGGCGGATTGAGAGCAGCTAGATGTCTCCCTAAAGCATCCCAAACGGGCTCGATAGGATTATTCAAGTCCGGGGATCGAGCTGGCCACTACATGCGCATAATTGTTTCCTGTTGAAGATAATCATCTACGATGCAAGCCCTGTGTGGTCATGCGTTGTCGTCCTGTAACAGAAAAGCATCACCTATTGCCCGGCATATGGAAGCACATAAACATCAAGGATGTCATCTCTATAAATCTGAGCATTCAGGATTTCCCTTGGAAAGACATGGAGGTCTGTGCGTCCACCCAAAGAGATGACACCCCAAACACACTGCCCGTTCCGTATGCTTCTCTTTCACGATGTTTGACGTATGATAACGAGTTCTAGGTTCTCTCCATATAAAATAACGCCTACTATCACTTTCCAGACTAAACTTGGATTCATCCGTAAAGAGTACCGCCCTCCATTGATCAGGCGTCCAGTGGACATGTTGTCGCGCCCACTGAAAACGGTCCTTCGTATGGCGTGACGTGAGCGGCACATAAATGGCTGGTCGCCTCGCATACAGACCACCTTCGTGAAGCCTTTCTACGCACAGTTGACGTTGACACGAACCTTCAGGTGGCTGCAGCAAGGGAGGATCTAAGAAGAGTCGGAGCAGCGGTTCTATTCTTGCGTGCACATAATGTCAAATATCGGTCATCGGCGCTCGTCGTAGCAGTTGGCCGTCCTTGGCTGAACCTCCTAGATGCCAAATCTGTGGTTTGAAATTGCCTCCAAAGTCTGTGAACCACAGAAGGACTCACATTTAGCCATCTGGCCACTTCTGTTTGACTTTGTCCTGCCTCTAGTCTCCCAATGGCTCTCCATCGCAGTTCTGCAGGCAAATGATGCCTGGAGGTAATTGTTACGAATTGGCTATCTCAGATTTCTGATGTCACTATCACAATGAAATATGTGAGCTTGCTCTCAAACATGGAATTTTATGCTCCTCGCAGATGACGTATTCCGAAAGCAGCGCCACTAATTTGCATATCGCAGTTTTACTCAGCTACTCTTACTTGGCAACATTCAAATTTTACACGGTTTGGCTTATTTTTGAGGTAGTTATCGCTATTTATTTTGATTTTTCCTTAATTTATGATAACCAGTGTATCGGTTACTTCAAGATTTGGTACTGATCCTGTAATTTTAATGTAATTCGCTGTATCAGAATCAGTTACTGTAATATTTGAAACTGGAGTTTGAATATCATTTTAATTATTTTGGTTGCAACTCAGATACCTTAAATTTTCACTTACTTCCATTTTCTCTAGTACATCATCATTCAGTACCTTTTCAGGCCTTCTTTGACTTCCAGAATATTTTTTTTTTCATCTTCACATACATTTTTGACAAAAATCAATAATGTGACTTATTTTCTTATACGATTTTGATCACTCATTTTTACAATATAATTTTAAAATCATATTTTTACACCTTAAAAATCAAAATGGAATTACTCTACATTGAAAGAATATGCGCGTTACATAGTCATGTAGAATCATGAAATACAAGTAATGAAAGAATTTTTGACTTTGTTGTCAATTGGGCTTACTATTGCATGTGGTGAAATGACTCAACCTTTGACCTTGTCTGTTAACAAAACAGGGAGGAAAGATAACCAGTTCTCTCAAGAATAGATAACCAGTTCTCTATATAGTACAATAGAAAGCAAATCAAAGTTCTAATTATAAGAGGATATTTTATGTTCGTATGCAATTCAATTTTGAAGGGGTAGAAAAAGAGAAAAGAAATTTTACTTTTTCGTTTATTAGAACTGAAATTATTGTTACCTTTGTCTGGAATTATTTTACGTACTATATAAATAGCATTATAAACAGTCGAAAAAAAAATCAAGGCCGATGGTGAAGTTCGGACCACCTGGACTCTGGCTTGTGTGCACCACTGATTCTGGAAAAAATCATTTGGCTTCATAAACGTACTTCTTTCAGAAGATTTGGAGCCACTGGCAGTAATGCAGAGAATAAAAAAGAAGTATAAACAAGAGGGGGGATGATTTCATGTACCATAAAACCTGAATTGCAAGTTAAGACTATATGAAAAAGGCAGTGCTTCAATTTCAAAACACACTCCCGTAATTCACGTTGCTGTTACTTGTGCCAGATAATCTATTTATGAGGCCCACGAAGCAATGAATAATTTAGAAAAACGTTAAATAACATATAATATATATAAAATAAAATTTAAATAAATACTTATTATACTCTTATAGTTGTATGGTACTTAAATTATACTTACACTTTAAAACTAGTGACAGAACAGAAAAAACGTTATTTTTTAAAACTAAAAAATAACTTAATGCAAATAATTTGTGCAAACAGGATGACCATTTCGATACTTAGGGAGTATGTAAAATAAGTTACAGGGGAAACAAATTACTGTCATTCTAACCTTTATCATCTTCTACTTCCTTTATAAGACCAATTTTAACCCAATGTTCAGGAGTTGATACTGAAAGTGCCATGACATCTCCGATGGCTTCATGAAATCCTGCAAAAGTGACATTGAAATGCTACTTGCGAGCAAAAGAATGAAAATATTTTCCACAAATGATAATAATAATAATAATAATAATTATCATTATGATGATAATAATATTTATGATGATAATAATCACAAATGACAATAATATTTGCTTTATCATAGTAGTGAAAAATTGTCTGAAGATTAAGACGAATTGGTTTCTAAGTATAACACATTTTACCTGGATTTGCTGCTTCACGAAAAATGGCTGGTTGATCTGCATACTGCAAGAAGTACTCAATGTGCCCCATTTCATGGTGTATAGTTTTTAAATCATTCATATTGATCTGAGTACACATTTTGATTCTGAAATAGTAAAAAGAATAAGACTTAAGTTAAACGATTTCAGATAATGATTACCCGCATTTTAATTTTAAATTAACTTAGTATACTGTGTATTTGATAGGCATGGTGTGAAACTCAGATATCATATAGAAAGAATATCTAGGCATTCTCCAGAATGTCATTTGTGAATAGCAGTATTTTATTCTGACTTTACTCGAAGTATACTTTATTTACTTTACTTGGGTATTTTATATTTTACTTAGTTTTATGTGTACAATGTGAACATGGACTTTAGAAAATGACACATGCAGTGCTGGATTTCATATTTTACCAGTAACATATATAATATCGAGGGATAGTTCAAAGTAAGAAAGTATGCATAATTTAAAAAAACCTAAATATTGTTGTAATTAAAAGAGAAAAATCAAACAAATGTTAATTGAAAGGATTTTGATCACTGCTTAATAAGTAGGTATAGGATATAATTGATTCTTTTAAAAAGCTGGTTATTTTTACTTTCAACGATTGACTCAACTCTATATCCGATCTCATTCGGCTTAACTCTTGTTTCACAACTCCGCATATGTAGGTTTAATTAAATTTAAAATACGTGCTGGTACACCATAGGTTTTTGGCTGATTTTTTTTTTCTTTTCTGCAATCGCACGTTGATAGTTGCACCAACTCGTTGACACAGGAGGACACTGACCATGCATTGGCTTCGAAGAAAGAAGAGCTACAATACAGCTATTGCAGCCTGCATCTCAATAACGTTTCCAGCATTACTTCTAACTGCAGTACCATAATAATTTTGAATTTATCAATAAACGAATCAGTCAGTTTACCTTTTCTTTTCAATTCACGAAATGGAATTTTTTACTTTTTGCAGTCTACTATCATTAGTTTTCTGTTCATGTCCAATGCATTCCAGTTTCTTAACAGAGTCTTTATATATAGTATATATGCTTCCATATCCGAAGCTGATCCTTTATAATTTACAGAACAGTTATGCTTCCCTTTATGTATGTCGTGCTGAAGGATGCATTCCATTTTGTTTATTTTATCGCAATTGGTGCAAAGCTGTGACATAATTTCCAAGTCAAGCACTTTGCCTGGGCCAATCGGCAATGCAGTAACAAATCCACTTAACGATGAATATCCTGTCTGGTGCAGTTCCATCTACAGATACACCACACTCAGTCTCATTTTTTGTAGAACGTTTAGTTTCGAAATATCTTTAATATCATCAGCATACAGATTTCAGCATAGAGTCATTTGACACGGAAGCAACAGCACTGTAAAGTTTTTCTTGAAGTCATTCATATGATGGGTTTTGTGGAGGCATTGGTAAATTTAACGCTGCGTAAAATCTTTTCCCTGCAGATATACCCCTTCCAATTATCCTCATACCAAACACAAATCTGTAATTTATATCTAGTGTCCTCTCATATTTTTCAGCTGACGGAAATGCTTTCTTAGAATTACACGCATTGCAAGTCAATGAAAAGTAAGAAAGCAAACCAAATCGAGAAATTTCTGAAAAATTCAAACTTGGTGACTAGCAGTTAGGACAGCAAATAGGAAATTAAGGGGAAAAACTATTGCCATATTCTTAAAATGTATTACAAAAATATCTAAAATTAGGCAAAGATTTATAATTTACAAACTTTTGACGAAAATAAGGTTTCTAACTGCGTGCGCCCATTTCTGGTCCAGAATATTTGAACTTCTGGTTTACTCAACTATAGAAAATTTTTTATGACTTCAGTTCTAATTTACCTATCAGCAAGCAAAGAGTTGTATTTCATAGCTAAAGATGTAAACTTTAAGGCAATGTAGTAAAACATAAATCGGAATTTTGACCGAAAATCGTGTTTATTACGAAGTCGGATACCTTAAAAGATAAAATAAAGATCTTTTGGAAGCACAGCGTTTTTTAAACGATGCAAATATTTTTTAAATAAGTCTCATAAAATGCATCTTCATTCCTCATTTTGTTTTTTAACATAATTTTCTTCATTTTTATATTGTAAAACAAGACAATTCCTGTGCCTTTTTTAACAATTCATTTAACTTCTTGTTAAGTTAAAGATACTTTACTTTCTTATTCACCATTTCTATAGCCCGATCATATAAGAACATGCAATTCTTCAGTCTTTATTTCTCGGAAATCATTATTCAACTAGTTCTTTGACTTCTCCGTCCTTCTTTCATATCTGAAAATTCTTCGCCGCCAGTTGCTTTTGTAACTAGTATGATTTCTTTGGTTTCATTTTCAATTGATGGTGTTTTTTAAAACCGTTGACAACTACTGGCCAGAACTGATACCAGCAAGCATTCATTTTTGATGAGTTCCCTTGTTCCCATGAGAGTTTAATCGTTTAGTGGTAGGTTACGCTGAATTGCTTTCAAAATCCCATTTAGCGGGTCATATTTTCCTTCATCTAGTGCTTTATTTTGCAGAGGTGTAAATATGCCCGACAAAATACGATATGAATAAGCTTATGATCCCTAGATCCATTGTTTAGATTAAGGAAATGGTGTTATAAAATCTTTATATTTGGAGGAAGTATACAGAGAGTTTCAGCATTGCGTCCTGAAGCACAATGCAGAATTAGATCCTTAAAGCTTAGGTTTTGTTGTTCTAAGTAATGTCTGACTTCTTTAAGGAATGAATTTTTAAACCAGTTACTAAAGAGGGCTTTAACCAAGCTTTTCTATTCCATTTCAATCAACAATAAACCTAAAAGTTTCTCTGCAATGCGCGGGGCATTTTAGATCGATAAATGAGCAGAGGTTTACATTGAAGTCACCTGATGCAAAAAAGCAACATGTGTCTATCCTTAGAAACTTTGAAACCTAGAGCAAACTTTGGAACCTGTGTGATGCAGGTTCATTGTCCTATTCTCTTACAAAATAGGCCCGTCACATCCGTATTGAAAACCTCTTGCAGACCGTGCCTTCACTTTTAAATGAATTTAAAAAATTAGAGTTTGAATTCCTGTGCTGCTTCTTTATCTGCAGAGCCCTCTTCTTCCTGATATTGCGCTATTTGAAACGATGTTTAAAGTTCTGAAGTGAATGTTTACTTGCTTGAAAGTAAATTTTTTTAACAATTGACTAAGATCCTCATTTAAACTGAAAAGCAAATCTAAAGCTTTAGTTCCAATAGCATCATCATCGGCAATTGAGCTTTTTAGTTTACTTGATTGCCAGTCCAAATTGCTAATATTTTCCTCATCTTTTCCAGTTACAGAATTTTTTTAACTTGAGTAATCTTTGCCAAAGTACCGTCTTAAGCCTGGATACTAGACCGAGTCTTTTTTTCATTTTTGGGTATTATTCTTATGCTTGATTCCTTTACAACCAGTTGTCTTGCAAGCGATGAGACATGTATACCATTTTTAAACTTGTCTAAAGTTCTAGTCTTCTGAGATAATATCAAAGCTTTCCGTCTTTTTGCTGCTTCTTTATTCTTTCTCTTAAATATCACACCGAATTTTTGAAATTAAAGAAAATACAAATGTAAAGGGATCAGATGCTAAACGTTGATTAATACATAATTACAGGCCTGCTAACATGAATGAAATGATCGCAGGCAACTCAGCCAGCGGGAGTGAAAAGCAGAGTAGCCAGATACGTATGTGGGTGGTCTCTTCTAAAGGGTACGTTGCTATGGTAACCCGCCGATGTTCTGCAGCGTATCACCTATGAATAAAATCCTAGCGTTAGACAAATTAAATTGAAACAACTAAGATAATGCTTACGTCCAAAATCCAGTTTTGAAAATCTGCGCCTATATATCCGCAGGTTTAGTGTTTGCACTACTTAAAAAATGGAAAACATAATCAGAGAATCAGTAGTAGCAACGGAATAATTACAAATTAATACTTAAATCGCTTTTTAATGTATCCTAATGTATATTTTTGTTAATATAAGTGAATACAGATTTACCTAACATCTTTGCCATCGCTAAAATCCCATGCAGAAGCGTGACAGACGATTTCACGATCCTTTGGTTTCTCTATGATAGAATTCTTCCAGAATTCTGGCGTCATCCTCTTCAGTCCCAAAGAAATGAAAAATTCCTCAGACATCTTAAACATATCTAACGCTTTTATTTTCTGTAATAGAATAAATAATCAGTTTCTTGTTCATTACAATGAATAAGTAACACTAAATTTCACGTAAATATACACTAATAAAATTTTATGCGTTCAGTTTGAATCATGCTCTTCCAAAAATTTAGACTTATAAGTTTTGGGGTTACAATTTCATATCTAAACCTAAACAAGATACTTCGTATGAATACAATTATAACTTGTAAATGAGCTACTGAAAGTATTTCGTTTGTTTGCACGGCCAATTTACATAAAAAGTATAAGTTATATATTTTCCATATGTACGTTTTAATGTCGAAACTTCATTAGAAACGTAGAGACAGATATATTGCATGAGTCCCAAATAAAAAATAATAATAATAATAATAATAATAATAATAATAAAAAAAAAAAAAAAAAAAAAAAAACTAAATAATTTTAGTAGCCGGCAAATGAGTTGCTCTAAGTATCTCATTAATTTTCGTTGCAACTTTACATAAAAAATACTGTCTATATGTCTTTATGGTGTCTACATAGGCTCTGAAATTTCGTAGAAAACACAGGAATATGCCTCATGAGTACTAAAATTACAAACAATAACATATATTTGATTTATATTAATTATTATAAACTGCTCATCAGCAATGAAAAACATTTCATCTGTTTCCGTTACGTAAAATATTAATCTTCTATGCTAATTTGGAGTATTCTGTAGCACATAAACTGCATAATTACAATACAGCAAAATTTGCTCCTCTAATGACGTCACTGACTTCAAATCTGCTGTAAAGCAGTTACTTCATAATTTTTTTGTATCTTCTTTGCTTCCACTTCTGCAAAAGCTGTCTTCATTGTTCAGATTGCAATGTATATATATTTATTGAAAAGCCTATGACATACCGCATTCGGGATTCTCGAAAAAGGATTATGAATAGAAAGCAGCATTCCCAACTATACAAAAAAAAATCGGTTTTGTTGAAGAAATTGGAAGTGTGTATTTATTACTTACTAGGAAGAGTTGCATTTTATGTGTGCGTTTTTATTATTAACTTATTTTAGTACTAAGAAGTGTTACGTGTACTTAATTTAATTAATAAATTTTGTTACTGATCGTAATTCTAATATACCTTTCCTCAAAATATTCGAAAGTTTTATTTCATCATTAAACTTTAGTTCGACAGAAGACGCTAAGTTTTGATGCTTCACTTTTTATTGCCTATTTATTTACTTTATTTCATCTAGTTACATTACGTAATCTATTAATTTTACTTTATTTTATCTAGTTGCATTACATATGTCTAATTTTTGGCTCAGTATATTTCTGATTTAAGAAGAGGTTCTCTATGTCAGTGTCCTTTGGAATACATGGAATTTTCTGTAAAACCTATGTCAACTAATGTTTAATTTTACTAATTAAAAATACAGATATTTTAAGGAATTTATTACAGCTTGATCCAAAGCAAATGCGAAATTTTCGAATGTGAACGGTGTTTAATGTTTTGTTAGCGGTATCATTAAAATAATCTAGTAAAAATTATTGCTAGCTGTTTCTTTATGGGAATAATTAAAAATTGTATGCAAAACAGAGCTACCGCAAATCATTTTTCGAAATTTAAGGGTAGAACTTGTGTCATCATCTTTTGTTCTTAAATACTAAATTTTTTTTTCAAAATTCCCGAATTCTATAAGATAACCAACCTAAGACTGATTTCTTTACAAATAAGAAACGACCTGCTGAATAAAGCCTTTGCATATATTCATCATTTTAAGCAACATTATAAGATACATTCCCCCTGCCTTTTTTTTTTTTTTTTTTAAAGATTATTACGTTTCAGTTTGAAATGTTACACTCAAATGTGTTTCTTTTCTTTTTCGTTTTACGATGTTGTCGTAAGTACGTATATACTTTTAAAACAGAAAGAAACTTCGTAGGTAAAAGTTAAATACCTTTTCTTTCAGTAAACTTGTAATATCGAGGATTTTCTTTTCAGGATATGGCATGACTTCTGGAAAAATATTTCCCCATTCTTGTGCCCACATATTTCCTTGAAAACAAAACATATTTTTGATTTTTTTCACTATTATTAGTTTCATTCAGAGAGAATACTTATGTAGAGAACATTCACAAAATTTCAGATTTTAAGAAAAAATTCTGAAAGCGTTCAGAGAAAAAACGCCCATATAGACATTTTCTACCTTGAGTGGTAGAAAATGTGTATATGGGCGTTACAATAAGCCTAGGTGGAGGCTTATTGTAACCCCGAGAAGATGGCATCTATTAATTTAGAGTCGGGATAAAGAGTAAATTTAACTCTATTTTTGACTTCTTACTTACAAGAACTCAGCGAGTAGTGGCTCAAGAAAATCCAATTTAGCTAGGATATTACATTGGCGCCCGAATAATAGCCGAACTATGTCTCAAAAGTCTTGAAAGTTTGCCTTAGCCTCTCCTTCGCTGCAAATTCCACCGGCACCAGACAATCGGATGGAAGAGCTTGGATTCATTTGAGACCATGAGGGCTGCGATGAAACCGGCCGCTAGCTGCAACGGAAAAGATTCCGTGATGTCCTTCTTAGAGCAGCTGGAGCTCCATTTACTAATTACTTGCATCCATTTACTTGCATCCTGTTTTGGAACTACAAAAAGTCACCATAGATACTACAAATCTAAAAGGCCAAACCCTCAGCTGGGATAATGGGATTGGAAAGTTCCTGTTCGCTTCCTGGCTTTGCCTGAAATTTAAATTTTTATTAAATAGCATATCAGCGACTCCTTTATTGGACACTGAAGCGGAATGCAGTTCTTGTCGCAAGATTTTTTAGAGAGCGTTTTAAAGAGTATCGTATTTTTAAAGCAACGGGGCAGAAAGTAGTCGTGGCCCAGGGTAAGCAATGCGTATGTCTCGGGAAAGTGGGTCTGCACTTTGAAATAAAAAACAGATATCAGTATGTTACTTTTCTTGTGGTCAGAGAATTACGTATTAGCACCAGTAATTCTAGGGGTCAACATTTTACGCTCGGTAGGCACAAACTTAAATTTTAAAAAATTTACTTTAGAGGTGCGCATGGAGACCATAGAAGAAGAATAGAGTCCAGCATGTGAAGTCGAAGTGAACCATCTACCGAAAGAAGAGAAGAAGCTACAAGAGGTGGTAAGAAAGTTTAATAATAAAGTATTTGATTTTAAGCCTAGAATTTACAAGGACGGTAGTGCCGCCCTATAAAAATAAAGCCGTACCTATATGATAGAGTCAAAGAACAAATTATCGAGGAACACATTAAAGAAATGTAAAAAAATAAAATTATTATCCTCACAAGTAGTCCTTACTCAAGTCGATAAGTCATGTCAGAGAAAAAACGATCTTCAACCATCAGGTCGAAAAGCATGGCAACTGACTACCATAAATTAAATAGTATTACGAAATATCGAATATGTCCTATACAAAATAGAGATAACCCCCTAGACAAATTACTTTTTGTTCAACAAAGAGAGGCAGAGTTATAAAGGAAAGATGTATAACAAATAACTGATGAGGTAATTAAAAGTTCAGATATCTCCAGAGGGAAGCAAACATTATATTATGATTAAAAGAGAAGGCAGACCGGAATACAAGGTAAGTAAAAAAATTATGAAAATAAAGCATTAACTATCTTCCGCTTCTAAGAGTAAGGTGATAAAATTTGAAAGCCTTTTTACAGTAGAAAGAATAAAATATACCACCTTACATCTGAAAGATAAAAACGGGCAACAGAATATCATAATTATTGATGAAGTGAAGTCGTACTAAAAACAAAGTGATTTTTAAGCACTGAAAGATCTTTCTCAGGAACCTGGAAGGGAGCCAAGAAACAGCATTGCCGAAACTTCAGAATGAGTCGTTCCACTGGAAAAAAAGATCAACAACTTTCACCTCAGATCAATGCCGGAAGAAACTTAAAATAGACGCTAACAAATAGAAAGCAATCACCGACGGTTGGTTTGAAGCCAGGAAACGCGTTTCAAGTGGAGCAGAAAAAGGTACAACGCCGTTCAGCCAAGACGCTTTCCGAAGGAATACAAGTTCCAATTGCACAATTAAGCTTACCTCGCCACCTCAAGTAAGAAAGTTCAAGCGCCAGAAACCAGGTTCCCATGAAGTTCCTGAGCGACAGCTGCTGGAGTTCGCAGCCTTAGAAGACGAGGCCAGAGTTTCAATTTCCACAGACTAGGAGGAAGTATGGACGATTCGCTTCCAAAGGAGTCAAGAGAAAAGATTCCCGTTACAAGTTGAAAGGCGGCCTCGAAGGAAACTCAGAGTCCAGAGCCTGAACTGTCTTCCTACATGGGAGGAAGTTTTGAAAAAAAGAATGGCGGAATTCAGAAAGCCAACAGGAAGTGAAATGTCTTTCCTTTTCTTTCCTAAAATTCAGTTTATTTCACCCATGTGCACAGAGTTGCTATGTAAAGTTCACTTTCTACCTCAAGCGAGGTCATTTTTGTTAAAAGCAAGATGCTTGAATTCGTTTCGCATGTTCGCGGTAATGTAATGGATTCACGGTTCCAGTTCCAGTTCTGATGTTAAGTCGCGAGTAGCTTGCAAATTTGCTCGCTTTGTTCCGGCTGTCGTCACATAAGGTGCTACTACGAGCGATGCAGTGAGATGAATGCTCAGGGTGGGTCCGGAGGACAAACTAGGAGGTGGAAGTGGCGTGATCAACAGTCACGCATGGATTCACGGTTTTAGTTGAAAAGTCTTAGAATTGCGAGAATTAAAATTAGAACTGCTAGAGAAAGTTTTGTATATAATGTAAAGCAATTATGTACTGCTGACGTAAAGTGAATCTGAAAAGTTTTCAATATTTTGTGTGTAAATATGCATTAAATGTTGTAAAGTTATTCTGTTTTAAAAGTAAGGGTTTTCATGCTAAAAGTAAAAATGCTTGAAAGTTTAAACTATTGCGGATGAATTTAAATGATTTGCTTGCAAGAAAGTGGTGTGGTGTATTTAATTATGGCAAAGCACACTAGGGCTATCTGCCTAAGGGGAGGGATGCCTTCGTGGAGGACTTTCTAAGGGAAACTGGCTCGTATACACGTTACACATGGGGAAACCACGAAAACACCCATGCAGCCAGCCCGTTCGCGGGATTCGAACCTCATTTGCAAGAAAGGGAAAAGTATGAATGAGTAATGTTAGGCTCTCCAGTTTACACGAAAGTTTAACACACTTTTGCAGTTAACACATTAGGTATAGAACTGAAAGTAAGGAGTCGTTCGAGGTCTCGGAAGTAACGTTTGATCTAACATTTAAAGGAAGACGTTCAGGTGGTAGTTTGTTGTACACACTCGTAAGTTTTACAGAACAAGCTTCTGAAGAGCGTTGGTGCAAATAAATTAAATTTATGAGTAAATGAAAGTTGTATGAGAGCCAAATAAATGATGTGAAAATTTAAATTGTTCTTGAAAATGTGGCCAAAGAATCTCTGTGAATAGCCGCACTAATATGTTTTCCTTCCAGATATATTGGAAGGAGTCACAGACCGTTCAAGGAAATGACGTATGTTCCAGAAAAGAAGACTGTAAATTGTAAAATATATTTTTTTTTTGTCTTAGTCATAAATTTAGATTTAGGTTACCTTTCTAAAGTTGGCTCCTAAAAATTTTTAATTTCGATTCTTAGAAGCGAATATTAAAATAAGAATTCTTAAATTCAAAGTTTTTCAAATAGAGTTTAAAACGCAAAATTTAGCGTTGGAATTTTAATTTGAATGTAAAGAGAGGATTTTAAGGTTAGTATATAAACTCTCAACAAGGTAGATTTGAGACCTTGCGTTTCGAGTATTTTAATTCTGGAGGGGAAAATTGTAGGTTTATTTTAATTTTTTAACAGTTATTTTTATTTTGTAACAAGCCTTTCTTTTCCTTTCTCATTTTCCACCTACGTATTCCTGCCAGAATGAGTTTTCAGGATTACGTTTTATGTAAATGAGTTACAAACAAGTATTTAAGTTGAAGTCTGGGTCACCATAGTAAGACAGTGTAGAACAGCGTGTTCTGCCTTCCGGCCACATTGTTGTTGCTAGTCTAATTTTAGTTATTCGTGCGTTACGTTCCTGCTAGTACAAGCCGGTGAGCTTAAATAAAGGCCAACTCTGTTAGTTAATTCTGTGCAGCTCCGACTGGTTTATTTTAGTAGTATTAGCTTAGTTTCTTATTTTCTACCTTGAGTTAAAGACCGAGAAGGGGCTATCTGTTAACTTGAGTTGGAATAAAGAGTAAATTTAACCCTTCCTTGGACTTTTTACTTATAAGAATTTAGCGAATAGTCGCTACACAGTGTTTCAATATTGTAGCTCTCAAGGAAAGCCAATTTAGCTACGATATTACCCCTTTACAATCTCGTATGGAGAAGATGTTCATCCAAACCTGCAAGTTGTACATCAAATACTCTTTATTATTTAAGTGCCAATTGAACGTTTTGAACGTTCGTTCAGCAAATTAAAATTAATTTTGACATATCTGTGATCTACGATGGGACGATATCGCTTAAGTGAAATAGCATTTTTAAGCGCGGAAAGAGAAAAATTTGAAATGATCGACTTTGCTGAAATAACTGATATTATACTTCATTAAAGTCAAGAAAAATGTATACATAGTAAGTGATTGTGTTAATGTACTATAATATTATTATAATTATTATCAAACATATCAGTTTATATATCTAAAATATATTAATCTTTTTCATTGTTTAGAGACTGCATGTTTTTGAAAAAAAAATTACAAAAATATGTAAAATTAATAGTATCTTTTTAACTAATTCTAGATGACAGTATGCAGATTTTTCCATTGACACAGACACACAGATTTCTGAATCCAATTTTAGTATTGATTTTTTTAACTAGATGTTTTGCCTCAAATTTTAAGTACTAATCTTCGCCTGTGTCCCTGTTTATCCCGAAAAACAGTAGTTTTGTAGAAGTGTAGCTAGGTAGTGAAAATTCGTAATATATTATACAGTATTTTATGGTAGGTTCTATTAATTTTTGTATTATATTCTTATTACGAGTATATTCTATATATTATATTACTATATTTTTTACGTGGCGAGTGCCAAAAAGGTATCTTGGCCCGGGCGCCGGTTATACTCGCTACGCCACTATCAGTATGTATAAAATTTCTCCAATTGATATTGTTGTTATGTTGCAAAATTTTTAAGTAAGGTATCCTCTTTGTGCTTATGAATATTTATGCTCCATTCCTTGGTAAGGGCGTCATAGAAATTGACATATCCTTTTATAAGACTGTAGAGACATAAGGTATTTTGGAAGCAGGAGAATGAAAAAATGAGCAACGCCTTCGCCGAGAATCGAACCCCGGACCTCTGGAATACGCGCCCAGTGTGCAGACCACCACACCAGGCATGCCAAGAAGACGGGAGAAATTCATTATAAGACTAAGTATAAGTTAAGCGTCTATGTTTAATTTGGCCAAACGTAATAAACGAAGACGAGAGAAATTCATTATAAGACTAAGTATAAGTTAAGCGTCTATGTTTAATTTGGCCAAACGTAATATAAAAGAGACCATAAAATAACATAATTTGCTAACTGTTTTCAATAATCTTTATTAATATTCTCAATTAAGTGAAAATTTAGAATTCAAAGCTCAAACTTTTATCATGGTCACTCAAATGACTAAATATTTTTCATGCTTGAATATACTAACTAAGAGAAAGAATCAGGGTTTATAGCAGGGGCATGTCGAACCCGCGGTCTGCATGTAGTTCTTGACTCGTTTTTTTGCGGCCCTTGATTCAACCAGAGAAAATAGCGAAAAGTATGTAATTACAATGAATTAAAAATACTAGATTTCCACCCAACATCAAGATGGATATATAGTTTTAGATGCTAAAAAGGACTCTTTAGATGGCCTCAAAAGTATTTTCTTCAGCCGACGATAAGGAAATGCCAGTTCATTTACATTTAGAACTAAAAGAAATTCATTGAAGTAGGTATCCCCGAATTTTACAAATATTTGCAGGTTAACAGACATGCATCTGACATCTGTTCTCAAAATCGGTAATGCAAGCAATATGACTCCAGACATCCGAAAGCTGGCTGGGGTGGGGAAAGGATGCTAAGTGCTGAGAAAAAAACAAGATATCCATCATCTGCTACCGGGATTTCCTTATGTTCCTTCTATATCTCCTATTAAGTAATATTTTACGTATTTGCTCACCTTTTAAATATGTTCTTAAGTATGAAAATGGCCTTTTTTGTCACTTGCAACTCGCACTGTAGTACATTGATGACTATTTGGCCAACTTGAAGTACTGAGTTTGACATGCTGGTCTACATCATCACATTACACATACTGTATTATCACACAGTAAAGTTTGGGCGAATTCTCTTAATTTTTTTTTTCAGTGTAGCAATTACAATTTGCTCTAAAGCGATAAGTAATCTATAAATATTAAAAATAGAAACTTATGTTTATTAAGTGTATATATTTACCAAGCAGATGTGCAGGAATCGGCCCATCTGGTTTGATGCCATGTTTTGGATAACGTTCTATGAGTTTTCGCCGAACATAAGCATGTAGCTGTTTGTATAAAGGTTTGATTTTTTGCAACAATACTTTTATTTCTGATTCAAAGTTGTCGCTCTCGTAAACGTCATTCCACAGCATACCAGTATCAGAGAAACCTAGAAGAATAAATAAATAAATAAAAATCAGTTAATGGAAAGAAAGACGTATAGCGTTTGTGGAAATGACTGCAAATTAAATTACTCGAATTTGCATTTGGTTTCCTAACCGAAATTTTTGAAATATAAAACTGTATACCATTTTTCAAATGTTTGATAGTAGTTGGGCACATGTTTCGTTAAAAAATATGCCAAGACTTTTAGCTGGGCAACATACCAAACACGTATATTACACACATTTGTAATTAGAAAAAAATAAAATTTCAAGTTTTAGTCGAATTCAAATCGTTTCAGGTCTCAAGAATATCGAAAATTACGTTTTTTGTGTTTTAATGCACTACCTAGAGAGACTTATATAATTAGAAAATTAGGTAGTAACTTAAAAAATTCTACGATACGTTTGCTATGAAAATCTAATTTCTGCTAAATCTAAATCTGAAATCTAAGAAAAACATAGTACTTTTCCGTTTCACCGGCGCAGGCGATAAAGTCGCGAATAATGGTTGCAATTGGTGCCAAACAGAATATACTCGCTGGTAGGCTTTACGCCTCATTTTCAAAACAAGTCGCCGCCATTTCTTATTCGATTGATTGTTTCTTTCAATACTGGCATACAATTACATAGAAGTTTTACCAGATACGTCAATTTTATGCTATAAGGCCATTCGCTGGTAGTTCGGTCCGCGGTTCGAATCCCGCGAACGGGCTGGCTGCATGGGCGTTTTCGTGGTTTTCCCCATGTGTACGTGTATACGAGCCAGTTTCCCTTAGAAGGTCCTCCACGAAGGCATCCTCCCCCTTAGGCAGATAGCCCTCGAGGCTTTGCCGTAACTAAAACAAACCAAACCAAACGAAAACGTCAATTCTAATGAGAATGCATTAAAGAAGTAAAGCACTGCGGTTTTACATAATTTCTGAGTAAGCTATTCGTACGAATTGAAATAATTCTTGCATTTAAACTTCCAAATTCCAAACTACGATTAAACTTGAAATTAATGTAAATAATTACTGAGAGAAATAGATTTTTGTAGCGTAGTTTAACTGGGATGAGATCACTTGGGGTCACGTGATACAAATGGGCGACTCAGGATCTTGAAACATGACAGCATAGTAAATTCTTAAATTAATGTCTTTTTGCAAATTTATTGGCATTTTGCAAAATTTTAAACGCTATTAAAATGTTTATGCCTTCGAAATAAAAAATTCTTAGAACGAACATTTGTTAACATTTTTTATGTGCATACTGTATGTTGCCCCCAATTAAGTCTGCTTGACGAGATTTGCGACGGCGAAACGGAAAAGTACCGAAAACATATAGCAAACAAAGGCAGTTTTTGATTTTTAATTTTATGACACAAATTTCAAAATAAATTAGAAAGATTCAGTTTTCTGAGTTTTAAGACAGCGCTTATAAACACCCCAGTAACGCTGCGTCTAGTATTTTTATGCCTCCGTCTACTGCTAGCAAGTCTTTGATTAATGTCTACATCCCATATGGAAGTGAAATTCCTCTTAAAAAGTATTCATATGTTATCATTAAATGACAAAAACTCCTCTTTGTCATACCTTCTGAAATTTCATCTCGCAATTCCCAAGTTGTTTGGGTCCAGAGATTCTTAACTGTGGTGGCACCATAAATTAAGAATCCCTGATATAGGACTTAATGCTTAGAACATGTTAATCCATTTTTGAAACAACTGATAAAAAATATAAAGTGGTTTTTTAATGATGCAGAGTTACTTGACAAATTTTAATGGTACAGATTGCTTGATAAATTTATCTGATATGAGAAATTACACCCCTGATTCTTCGAAGACTTAAGTACCTTGGAAGATCTTAACCACAGAAATACATCAATAACAGTATACATTTTTATTGGGTCATATTTTATAAATAATGCAGGCTTTTCAATTGCATGAATTGAAAATCAGAACGGATTGTATAAAGTATCTGCATCAATTTGCTAGAAAAGCAAATAGTTATTTTATCTTTCTCTTATTCTTAGTTCAAGCTTTGAAAAATGCAATTCGATTTTACACAGATTTTTTTTAAATTTACAGTATCCTACAGAGTGCTAAAGCTAAAATGACAAAAGAACATATTCGGCATATTTTTCTTTATGATTTCAGTAAAGAAAAATGCGAGGAATATGAATACAGCCCCTGTCAAACGCCGGATTTACGTTATTAATATTTTGTGCGTGCAACAAAATCGAAGTTCCGCAAAATTACCTTTCTACAAAAAAATATGTTAGTATAATTAAGATTAAGAAACTATATAGGATTCAAACAAGTTTAAATACTGTTGTTGTTCAAAGGAAAAAACGAAACAAGCGTAAGGATTTTGATTCCTGTTGTACATGGCATAATATTTTTTAAATAAAGCTGGTTCGGGACAATGACAGACGCAACTCTTTTAAAATTTAGCAATTAGGACTGCAATGTTTTCAGTGCTTCTCATGAAGTGTCCTCTTTTTTATTTATTTGAATCAATGTCCTTTGCAAATGTCAGACACTTCTTGTGCCTTTTTTTAACTATTTGTAAGTTAAAGGGGATTTGTCTCCTTTTTTATGCTCACTGCTTTCATTATCGAATGGTGTTATCGTGTTTTTCATTTATCATTATTCGATTAATTATTTGACTTCTTCTTCTCCACATATGAAACTCCTTTGCCACCAGTTGCTTTTGCAAATGTACTAGTTCTTTGGAAGTCGATAGAAATCCGTTAAAATTGTTGATAACTTTTGGCCAAAGCTGGTGACAGCAAGCATTCATCTTTGATAAATGAATGCTGAACAGCGTACGCATGAAATTCTAGAGCTGGACAAATTAAATGGAAACAGTTAAGATAACGCATATATGCAAAATCGCTTTCCGTAAATTCGCGTTCGCTAAGGATTTACTCTACATGGGGATAGGGCAATAAGCGCAAGTGAGTCCCAAAAGGGGTTCCAGATATTTCGAGTCGAAAATAAATCATAGTACAAAAGATGAGTCTAGTTCTGAAAGATCTGCAGAGCTCGACAAGGACTATCTGTAAACTCTGCAAAAGAAACAAAATCATATTGTGATTAATGAACTAGCAGAGGAAGAAGCAGAGTATATTTTTGATTAAAAAAGAGATTTTTTACCTTCATTTTGAAAGAAAAAAAAAAGAAAAAAAAAAAGAAGAAGCGTTATTCGGAGGATAACCCAATATCCTGCTGTTCACGAATTAAGCACAGTGTAACTCACGAAACGAATATAGCTTCTTATCTCATTTATTATGCTTTATGGTGCAATTAAAATGACACAATGATAGCTAAGATATTCATTCTTGCGTAAAAAGAATTTACGTTGCGGCATTCTTAATCATGTGATTAATCACACTCTCTTGTTAATCGTGTGCTGTTACCTTGAGGCAGTGATAAGAAACTGTCACCTTCTAAATTTAAAGTATTTAGATTAGGCCTTCCTAATTGGGTCGGTATTCACCTCCTTGGACTCGATGAAATTTTAATAAAAATTAATGATGATAAAGAGGTCGATAGCCGAATATACACCGGCATTTGATCAAGGCCATTCGAATAAAGATATGGCAGCATTAATAAAATTCATTATTAATTATTCAAATCTTCAGTCATCTTTCGCTTTCGTTCTAAAATTGACTTTTATATTTCCATACTGAATTTAAAAGAATTTCATTATTTTGGTAACTGAATGAGATTTTTCGTTATAAAAAGGTTTATATTTCTTCAGAATATACAATATTATATACAAATCACTTGTAAAATTTAAAAGATTTTAAAGTTCGTTTCCAAGACATTGAAATAATGTGTCGAAATGGCTTGAAGAATCACTGAACTGTACTGAATATTTGATCTTCATATTATGATCCAAGAAGAGTTGACTGCATTGAACAAGGCTATTCAAGCACAAGCCTTATTAAACGTATGTCTAAGCAAAATTTCAGAATCTAAAAGTCATCCGAGAGGAATATCTCCAAATGAAAATTTTTACCGAGCAAATCTTTATAAGGTATTTCTTCCGCCTTCCTAGCGTGCGTTCGTGGTCTAGTGGTTCTGCACGCTGAGCCGGTATTCCAGAGGTCCGTGGTTCTATTCCCGGCGAAGGCGACTGCTCATTTTTTATCTTGCGTGCTTCCAAAAAATACCTAATGTCTCTACAGTGGCGCCCGAACTAAAAGGGTGTTGGATGATGATTCTCCTCACCCAGGATTTGGCGACTGGGTCCCCTAAAAACCCCAGTCGTCCTTTAAAAGGGGGGGTATATAAGGTATTTCTCCCGCCTTCCGGGCATGCCTTCGTGGTGTAGTGGTTTCGCACGCTGGCCGGTATTCCAAAGGTCCGTGCTTCGATTCCCAGCGAAGGCGATTGCTTATTTTTCATCTTGCCTGCTTCCAAAAAATACCTAATGTCTCTACACTTTATTGACTTTTCTTACAAGACTTACCGCTAATGGATGTAAGCTAATGGATGTCAAGTCTACAATTTACTATGCAAAACAAGAAAGAGGTGGAATATTTTTAAACAAGGGGATTTAAAAATTAATTAAAGCAAATTTATATCAAATGTTAAAAAGTTACATAAGTCCATCCAAGCGTTCCCTCCCCCCGCTTTTCAAGGGAGCAAAAGACATTTACGACCGTTTTAGACATTTACCCAGTTTTTCCAACTTTTATAGGTCAGAGTATACTTTGACAAGACGATTTGTCCCCGCGGACACTTATTTAGTATTATTAGTTCAGCTATTATAGCACTCTGTTCCCAGTACTTATTATCTCATTATGTTTATCTGTTGGCTTTATTGCATGGAAACAAATGTTCTCAATTTAATCTGTGAATTTCAGATAGTACTGAAATTGTATTGTAATCTCTTTATGTACGAAATCATTATTTTTAATAGGTACCGAATGCGGGATGTACGGTGGGATTGCACAATGTGCCATAAATGTAAACTCTAGATCTTTTGGAAATCTTCAGAGGCTCATCTCCTCAACC